TCAGATCTTGTATACGTGTATCAGTGACGCAGCATACACCCATGGCTAGAGATCACAGAGTTTGGGCGAGCGATGCTTGCTGTCCAGTTTGGCATATACGTCAAAATCTCCTACGTGAAATCGATAACGAGGTCCTAAGATACTGAGAATGAGATTTCGATGGCTTCGATCGTTGGAAATGGTTACAGAGTGAAAAGCTGGGGAAGCTGTCAGAGGCCAAATATTAGTATCGGGAGATGGAGGCAAACCCGACCGATTACTGCTACCTTGACGTGTGATCGGGCTTGCATATCACAGTGACCCAACGAACTATGTTGGTGGAACACTTGTTCCCTTGAGGTCCTGCCATACCAGAAACCTCTGTTGGATAGTGATTAGACGAAAAGCAGTTACCGTTGTAGTGTAAATTACTACACCATAATGCGAGTCTGCGGGCGAAGTCGTACTGCTGCTAGCTGGACGGGGTGTGACAGCAGTAAGGTGTTTCCCTTGGATGACCAGCAGTACCATGGTGATGCTGCCTTCTCAGTGGAAGGGGAGGGGGCTAGAAAAGGTCGACCCCGAATACAAACACTCCTCCATATCAATCAGTTTGCCGGACCGGTGGTGTTGGTTCATTTGTCGTTTCTTTTCGACCATCCGGCCCCAAAAATACAAAAGTTCAAAACAACCATACACAAAAGGCTGAGTGTGACAGGCGTGAAACAGATGTCTGATGGGCTCTGCAATCCCACAAATCGCTTTCAGGTACCTTAAGAAGAAATAGTCTTCCAGGGTGTTGGCAGCCTGGAAGTGTCAACGGCTCTCACAACTCAATCAGCAGTCAAGTTTCCTCAGACTGCTTTCCACCTCCCACATCATTACCTTCTGATCTTCTTTCACGTCTCTCGACTAACGATACTACATCTCCTAGCTCTGTAGCCTTCGACAACAATCTAAATCCAAAGGACAGCATCTTTGATCTCCTTAAACCACGCTCCAAATTACACATCGGAGCGTTCGATGTCCGCACCCTCCGTCAAATCGGTTTACAGGCTTCAATGGCCAAAACTCTAGCAACTCGAGTCATGAGTGTCTGCTGTGTTTGTGAGACACGCATACAGGACCCAAGTACGGTTATTCACCTAACCTCTCGCGGTCAATGTGAGGAATCAGCAAGATTCACCCTTCGAGTTTCTGGAGATTCGATGGCTAGCTGTCGCGGTCTTGCAGGTGTAGGTATAGCATTAAGCACTAGGGCAGAAAACTCACTACTAGACTGGATCCCAGTTGATAGTCATCTCTGCGCTGTCCAGGTCAGTGAGAAATAAAAAGAATAGTGGAATTTGCCGTTGTCTCTTTGTAGCCTCTTTTTACGCACCCACTGACTACAGTTCGGATGCAGTGAAGGACGAGTTCTACCAAGAACTGTCTAGCCTTCTCTCGAAAGCCGAACGCTCAGACGTGGTGGTTGTTGTAGGTGATTTCAGTGCGTAGGTAGGTGAGTAGACTGAGTGAGGGAGAAAGACACTAAGGTGGCACTTTCAGAATTCTGGCTCGACGAACAGATGACGCTGATCGCCTACTACAACTGTGCTCGGTTAACCGCTTATTTTTAGTTAGCACAAATTCCGGACACAAAGAAAGAGACTGTCTGACTTGGCGACCACCGAGCTCAACACAGCGATGGACATAGATGGACCACATTGCTATGAGTCATCGCTGGATGACTGGTGCTCCTTCTGGAGTACATGTTTGGATAGCGACCACGCGTTGGTCTGAGCGCGTGTGTGCCCTCATCTCAATGGACGTAGGAAACATTTGGCAACAAAAGCATTGCGACTGCAGCCGAATAACGAAAACACCAAAGCCGCTTTCAGTGAAAAATTGGCTAGCAGTTATTGGAACAGAAGACTATCTATCACTCACCTAGAAGAAGCTTGGTGCCATCTGGAGTCTGCTGTAAAAGCAGCACTGAAGACCGTAGCCAACTCCGAAAGAGTGGCTGAAAAGAGCCAGTGGATATCAGCAGCTTTTTCCGAATCAATGGATGCGCGTGAACGCATCCCTGCAGGCTCTGAGTACAATGAAGAGTGAGGACAACTTAAAAGTAGACTGAGAAAGAGTCTACGCCACAACCGCGAACAGTGGTGGGTAGCGAAGGCTAAATAGATGGGAAAGGCAGCGGCGATTTGTAACAGTAGAGAGTTATTTCGACTTATTGAGGAAACTTAGGGGTGGGGCGGGAAGGTCAACAACCGTAAGTGAGACCATAGCGGAGAAGGACGGGTCTGGGATTCATTCGCAGGGGAGACGACTGGAACGATGGGCAGAGCACTTTGAGGAACAGTTTAACTGGCCTCCAGCCACCATTGCGCTGCCTGCTATCCAATCGGATCTTGAATGGGACATTGAGAATAGGTCCCCCCCCCCAACACTTGCAGAAGGCGAGAAAGCGGTAGGTAACTTGAAACGAGGAAGGGCAGCAGAACCAGACGGACTAACTCCTGAGATATATAAGGATGATGGTGAGGTGCTCTTAGCCAGGTTAACGGAAGTGTTAACCAGTATATCTGAATCAAATACGATTCCCTGTGACTGGTCTAAGTCACTGATTATCCCGGTCTTCAAGAAAGGTGAGAAGTCCTCCTGTGATAACCGTAGAGGAATCAGCCTGACGAACATAGAGTCTGAGATTCTAGGTTCTATAATTCTCCGACGCCTGAGTTCAGCTCGGGAACAGCAAGCCCGAGAGAACCAGGCAGGTAGGCTTTAGACCTGACCGCGGATGTATTGACCAAATATTCACACTGCGCCAGGCTCTGGAACACGGGCAGGCTTACCGACGCCCGACAATAGCTGTATTTGCCAACCTGAAAGCGGCGACATTTGACTCCGTTGATCGAGAAGTCTTATGGCAATGTCTGTCACTGAAAGGCGTGCCGAGTGAGTGCATCATCTAATGGAAGGCTCTCTACTCGAACGCCTATGGGCGTGTTATAACCTATGGTGAGATATCCGGGGAGGTATACTCGTCGAGTGGTGTCCGTCAAGACCGCCCACTGTCTCCATTTCTACTCAATTTTATCATAGATATTCTTATGAAGGTCTCCCTCTCGTCACCTGATTACACGGAGGTTGACCTAACCGCAAGAGAATTTTTGTTAGACCTAGAATATGCAGATAACATAGTCGTGTTGGGTGAAGTTGCAGAGTCTTCTGAACACTAAGTGGGAATTTGAGAATGTTTGGGATGCGGTTCTCACCACCAAAATGGAAATTGTTGCTCCAGGATTGGTCTTCAACGGTGCCCCACCGCGGCTAACAATAGAGAGTATAGTGGCTGAGTGTGTTGGCCACTTCACCTACCTGGGAAGTGGGGTCAGTCCTATTGGCTCAGTGGCCGATGAAATTTGTGCACGAATGCAAAAGGCTCGACTGGCTTTTGCCAACTTACGCCGCCTGTGGTGCCGCCGTGGTATCCGATTGTCTATTGAGGGTCGCGTGTACTGGACCTGCACAACAGTCCTCTCTGTTCTACTGTATGGCTGTGAAACATGGTCATTGATTGAAGGTGGAAGACATGAGAAAGCTGGGTTTAGATGTTTGACCACCGTTGCCTTCGTAGTATAGACCGCCTTCCGTGCTGTCATCAGGTGAGTAATGTAGAAGTCAGGCGTAGAGTTTTAGGGAGGAGAGGTAGATCAGTTGGTGAGGTTGTGAACCTTGATGGACTGAGATTGTTGGGACACGTGTTACGTATGCCTAGTCGCAGATTGCCTCATCACACAATGTTGGCCGAAGTAGGTTCAGGCTGGAAAAAGGTCCGAGGTGGCCAGACTAAAACATGGCACCAATGTATGAAGTCTCTGACTGTCGGTTTGAGTCATGTGGGGTGATGCATACTGGGTGGTTGGGGTCGGCGGAACAAGAGTAACCAGTAGTTGGAGACTCTAGGTGATATGGCTGAGAACCGATGTCAGTGGTGTAGATGTATACACACATTATCCTCATCTTGATGCTTTGTCGAATCTCACCATTTTCTCATTCTTTCTTTCTCTCTCTTTTCGTACTTTTGTATTTCTTTTGACTGAGTTTTGTTTTCTTCATCATTGCACTTCACTGCCACTGCGTTTTTATTTGATGTAGTGGTGTGAGGTGTGGCAATTTGGATCGTTACGCAGTAATGCCTGATCCTATATTGATAGATGATGATGGTGAAGGCGAAGGAGGTGGCAGATTTTAGGAGGATAGGTTATTTTTGATTAGGTCTTGTGTACGGCTGAAAGGGTGTGGGCGATTGACACTTCCCAGCTGCCCGCACCCTGGAAGGGTAGTTCTTCTTGAGGTACCTAAAAAGGAAGGGAAGGTGTTTGACCGAAGAGTCCGTGGGACACCTACTTGAGACCAGTCACACATGGCAGTCTTGTATTTTCGAGATTTTGCTTTTGAATCCGACGGTCAACCCCATGTCGCTGACACCAGTATGCCACGAGGTCAATGGGAGTGCACTGTTTTTAGGGCTGACCTTTGCTAAACTTTTTCCCATAGGGAAGTAGTATCAGCGTGCAATGGTGGCTATCCAAGGGAAAAGCCTCATTGACGTCACATACCTATCCGGTCAGCAGTAACCACTTCGCCCTCGGACCCCCATCATAGCATAGCAACAAACACTATAACGGCAACTGCTTTCTGTCTGACCACTATTCAACAGACTTATTTGGGTATGGTAAGACCTCGTGGGAACAAGGGTTCCACCAGCATAGCTCTTTGAGTCATTTTGATATACAAGCCCGACCACCATACCAAGGTGGCAGTTATCAGTCGGGTAGTGGTTATATGACAATAAATACGTGGTAATATGGTATCTGGATCAGGAAACTGAAGCTCATCCTGATGATAAAAATGCCTTAGTGTCATGTTCAGTTACCCATTCAGTGTTAGAGATACCATAGATAAGCTGTGATTTCCACAATTAAATGAAAATGCTTGCAAATCATTAATTACAATTTTGCTTACAGATCCTTATGTCAAACTTTCTCTGATGTTGGGAGGGAAAAGAATTAAAAAGAAGAAGACTACCATTAAGAAATGTACTCTAAATCCTTACTACAATGAATCATTCGCTTTCGAAGTACCGTTTGAACAAATTCAGGTAAGTTAGTTGTTCAGAAGTGATACGTAAAGATCATGTGAACGTCATATGAGCAGGTTTTTTTCAGATACCGATAGTCATTCAGAAAGAACTGCTCCAGAAGCGCTTCAGAATTAGGTTTAATTACTTTTTTGCCTAAAATATTTGTCAACACAGCAAGCTTTGAGTACTATCCCCTAATGCTAATATCTTTTCTGTAATACACAGAGATAAATGATATTCCCAAATACTCAGTGGCTGGTTAACTAACAGAAGTGTTAGAACCTAGTAATTACATTAACAAACGAATACAACCTTAAATTGAACATGTATCTATACCTTAGTAAGTGTACTGCCAGCGGACGCAGAATTACTTACCGTAGACTAAAGCTATCTCCAGTAACGTAAACAGTAATATACAGATGTTTAACTTTACGATTAAAACATTCCTAGTGCCCGTAGGAAAGAACAGAAAGCAATAACAAGTACGTCACTATAAGTGTTAAGGAGTCAGTAAAAGAGCCTTCCAAGAGCTACAAAATATCACCTAGCATTAATTTAAGTTCCATAATAATGCCTAGTTGTTCGATATAATTTTGTAATTGAGACCGAAGGAAGTAGACTAGGTAAAACCTGATATTCTGTCCTAAGAGCAATTCTCGGAGTAAGCTAATCAAACTCAAAAAGGAGGAAAACCAGAATCACCCAGTGTTGACCAAAAGCATCAAGACGGCTACAGTAAGGTGAGGGACTATGTGCATAATCATTATTCCGTAATGGGTGAGTAAAAATGTCTGTCACTAAGGTGCATAGTTGTCATCATAACGTTAATTTTCCTACGAATAATTTTGTACACGATAGTACACTGGTGCTGTATGCATAAGGATATCCCTTAAATTCTGCAATAAATTGGTTTAAAACAATGCTAATCACAAACCGTCTGAAATCATGAAGTTCATTCTTCAAGCTACTGAACTTCTATCGGACTAATAATAGGTGCTTTAGGGACTGCAGAAGCATTCACCTGCGATGTAGACTGGGTGGTTGGGATCGGCGGAACAAGAGTAACCAGTGGTTGGAGACTCTAGGTGATATGGCTGAGAACCGATGTCAGTGGTGTAGATGTATACACACATTATCCTCATCTTGATGCTTTGTCGAATCTCACCATTTTCTCATTCTTTCTTTCTCTCTCTTTTCGTACTTTTGTATTTTTTTGACTGAATTTTGTTTTCTTCATCATTGCACTTCACTGCCACTGCGTTTTTTATTTGGCGTAGTGATATGAGGTGTGGCAATTTGGATTGTTAGGCAGTAGTGCCTGGTCCTGTGCTGATATTGATGATGATGATGATGATTCACCTGCGAAAAGTTACTGTCCATCGACTTGAAGAAGTGAACACCTGTTTTTGTGCATACATACTAGTCAACAAAGTTTTTAGATGAAGTACCCTCTCAGAATAATCTTTCCATGTTTTACATTTATGTATCCGCTTCTTTTACATTACTTCGTATCTCCTATTACTTTGCAGAAAGTGACGCTAATAGTAATCGTGGTTGATTACGATCGAATTGGGACATCAGAGGCAATTGGTCGGGTTGTTCTAGGTTGCAACGAAACAGGAGCAGGCTTGCGTCATTGGTCAGATATGTTAGCCAACCCTCGTCGACCTATTGCACAATGGCACACGCTACAACCAATGCCCGAGAAAGGTTAACGAACATGAGAGACAAAAAACACCAAATAACAATAAGCAAGTTACTTCGCTATTTTCCTCTAGTACACCTACGTATCTCTCTAACAGGCTATGCTAGCCACAGAAAAATAAACACACTTAGAATCATATACGTAACAAATAATGCGAAAACCAATGTCGACCAAACCCATACCCTGAGAATTTCTTATATTTATCAGCCACTTGTCCCGAAGCTACTCTACAACTTGAAGCAGCAACGAAGAAAAGAGGGATGCTAGTATACAAGTGAACCAAACATATGACCAATGCAGAAGCAGTGTTTCACAATCCACTACTGTCACCATATACTTAATACTAACCGTTATTACTTAGTTTGTTTTCTTAGTGAAAACTATCTCAATTTACTAGTACTTTTTCTCACAGTCCCTTTAATGTTCCACAAAACAGTCCAACTTACTTTGAATCTCTTTGCATTTAATACAAGTTTGCCTACCTGTCTCTTAGTTACCGCTTTGTTTTATACATACTTATACACATAAGTCACTTCCATTTTTCACGGAGACTTATCGAAACATTTAATCGCATACCAAAACCCTGTTATTCGATTTGTCTATCTGACGACACGAACTACTCCACGTATACACTGTCCTGTTTTTAAACGTCGTACATGCATACTCCTGACATATATATATATATATATATATATATATATATATATATATATATATATATATATATATATATATATATACTTTATTCTTGAGTGTAGCCTCTTACCTAATTTTATTGAATTTCGACTTGTTATAAGATTGTTGTCCAAGTGATTAACTTCTCTATTACATGGATATTCAATGTGAATTTATCTATGTTGATACTCGTTTCCTTTTTCCTTCAAAACAAATAAATACACATTTGAACAGTTCATCATGCAAAGCTTAAAATAAAAATATCTCTTTACTAACTTAACGCCTGTTACACATGTGATAAGTATCAAACAATTGTATAAAGAGATAATTTCACGTTACTCTGCTTAATATCCACTTCACTAACGAAACAAGTAATACCTAAAAAACCACAGGTATTTGCAATTATAATGATTTTCATGCATTAAGAGATAGATCAGTTGGCTCAAATGGAGAAAAGTTATGTTTGCAATAATATCATCACATTTTATTCAGTGAAATGAAATGCTTGTTGATTAAGTTCTAAAAACATACAAAAGCGTACAGTTCAGTTGGTAATTTTCATTGTATTTGTTATACGCTTATAAAAACGAGCATATACAAGTCAAACTGAACTTGTTGTTGTGTTTTAATATAGTTGGAGCGAACAGGAGTTTGTAAATCCCAATTTTACAACTTAAAACATACACAAACTTGTCATTTTTTATAATCAACAATATTCAACATCCGAGATAAGTTATTTGAATAAATATAGATACAAGCACATTTATTCAGTGTATCAAATATAGCCACATACTACTTTTCCGAACGATGTTGATCTGTGGTAAATCAAACAGTTCTGATACTATGAATCCCAATATTTTGCGTAGTAGTTCAGGTTCCTGCGTGGTGCACTATAGGATCTAGGAGCCCATAAAGATGTAGTAGGTGTATCATCAAGATTATACCTTTGAGCATGCTCACTTTGTGCTCGGATGAGCGCACGTGCCTGAGCCAGATATTCTGCATTACGAGCGCGGGAAGCTGGACGACTATTTATTGGAAGAGTGTAATTACTACGCTGTCGACCTCGGCTATTACCTCGAAAAGTAGAACGTTGAATCCACCTCTGATTACGAGAAGGCGTGCTGATGCGTGAGGAACCATTCTGAGAAGTCCCACGAAAAGAAGTTCGCCTGCCTAGATAGCAACAACAAAAAGGACCATTGACTAATTGACGTATGTATCGTAGAATAAGCAAAAGCAAATGTATACTAGGAATGCAATCAATCAACGAATTCAAACTATACTGCTATTAAGAGCATAATAACTAGTTTCTTATTGTAGATAAAAGATGTGACAATGCCATGTAGAAGATTATACCAAGAACTAATCTAAACGGCTTATACGTGTGGCAGAGCTACGAAAAACACTTATTTTACCTTTTATATGTATAAGAGGGTTTAAACCACGGTTTCAAAGTCCGCTGATCCAAGTGTAGGAGGCGGCAGGCAGTCTCTCTGTTTCAGATACTTGAACATCACTAGAAAAGACAGTCCTCCCAACTCGATCTGTCTAACTCCGTGTAATTTGTTAGAAGTGCAATTAAGCAATTATGCATTAGTGTTACATTCTAGGTTACACAGGGACTGATGCTACTAACCAGATGCTCATTTCATCCTGTTGGTGGGTTAGGATCTATGGTCCGAAATCTAATTCCATACTACATTGTTTATTTCATATAGGACAGTATTATTCACTGTAAGCAGTATAATTATGCGATATATAAAGCAAACAATCTAGTATGGAACTAGACTTCACTACAGTGCAGTTTTTACTCTTACATTCGAAGTTGAGTGCAACATTTAAAAGCCAAGTGTCCACCTATTTAGTTATAAGCAGGCGATGAAGTGGTTTCTATCCCTTCATGAAATGAAATCTACACACTACAACAAAGTGGATATCTCAATTAGTAATTCCTTCCAGTTTTAAAACCAAAGGGGGCAAAATATCGAAACCCGGTGTGCTTACCTCGAGGTATTTCCAGAATCTGACGAGATTTGCGGCGTGGGCGTCCTTGAAAGCTCAGTGATTGTTGTTCTGCTTCCCAAGAACGACCAATAACCCTAGATGTGTTGTAGGCTGTTCGAGAACCAAGTTCGGGAACAGGCGCACTTCTGCGCCTTGCGCGACGTCTTTCATAGGCTGTAAGAAGAAATAAATGCTTCCAATCTTTCATGTTTGAGTATATCACTGACAACATAATCAAGTAAATTAGCTGTGTGGCACATTGGGGGATACTACTGAGTGGAAATAATGGAGAATAGCCACTTTGATATCACATGAGTAAAAAGCTCATCAGTATCTAGCTTATGCATGCAACTTTGTATGACCACTATTATACGCAAGTGGATGCGACTTTCTAGTGACAAGCAATTTATGAACTTAGTAATGAAAAAAAATATTAATATAATGATCATAAGGAAAATTAGTATTAGATAGGAACCAGTGCGCACCAATGCGAGAGGCTGGCTGGAGGCTTCGTCGTTGATCAAACAATTTCTGACGTTGGATACGGTTGCGCTGAAGAAGCGCAGTTGCATCAGCTGCCGTTTTTGCAGCAGCAGCAGCAGTTCGCTGAGCCCTACGAAGCACTGCTAGAGCAACTGATCGACTTGGGCGGATGTTTCTTGCTGTGAATACACGTTTATTTTTAGCAGGAACTTGAGGTTGTGTAGAAGACTCTTGAACAGGACGATTGTTTCGAGAAAGTCGCTTTTGTTTTAGACTTCGGAGTCGAATTCCACCAGCAGCTACCCGTAATTTTTGTCGAGAACTAGTAAACTTTTGCCGTCCACCGCGAGTGGCTGTGGTTTGCTGATTTTGCTTCTTTTTACGAGCTTCTTTCTGGTTCAGCTTGATTATTTCATCTACGGGAAAATAACAAACAATTTGTGAATAGATAATTATGGAAAATGTAAGTTGAAATGAAGTTCCAGCATTGAATTAAAGACTATCGTCACATAAATATGCATGGACTAACAAGGATTTCACATTCGGTTTTAAAAAATCTGGAAACAGATAAATCACCGTGAAACATTGCACAGAACTGCATCACTTTAATTTGCCACACTTTAAAGCAGCATTTAATGAAGTAGATAGACAACGGATGATAAATTAGGCAAGCGTACGAAAGAGGTAACAAAAAAGCACAGACATCGACGTAGAAACTAGCATAGAAGTGCATTAGTTTGAGTTGCCACACTTTCCAGCAGCATGTAAAGAAAAAGCTGATAGAAAACAACCGACGTTTAAGTTAATAAAGGTGTATGAGAAGCAATAAAACAAATAAATGAAGATGAATGAAAATATCCAAGAAATCGAAGACGACAAACTGTATACTCCTACACTATAATGATCGCATTACTAAAAAACTGCAACAGATGCTTGCTAACGTCTCGAAAACCCCGACCAAGCAGTCTACAGCTAAAACCAATAGTTAGTGACCCCTTAAATAAATTGATTAGTGAACTTGTTCAAAATTTAAAGATGACAAGCAGTCTATACATCCACACCATTTGGTAGGTTGTGAGATAGAGCGCCAAGAAACCTAGCCATTGTATTTTCATCATCACGAGGACCACAACCAAAAATGCAGCTGTACACAACAGCACATGGATAATTCAGTATGATACCCTAATGGGAATAAACACCTTGAACTGATTTAAGTCATACAAAACTTCCGTATACTTTAATATGTCGATAGAAGTACCATATCTTTTTTAAATTCAAAATATGCAAAGTAAAATAAATTGTTGGTAGAAGTGCAACGGGTGCGAAACTACTGAACGGTTAGTTAGTTCAAAAGTAGCTAGTGATCGGCATGAGGTTTGGATCGTTCAACTCTACTGATTGAGTTGGAGGACTTAATTACTAACCAGGTTCTCTTACCTCAATAACCCAGTTACTGGTTTGGATCCGATTCCTCCGTCAGACTTTGTCAAATTCAACAGTATATATATATATATATATATATATATATATATATATATATATATATATATATATATAAACCCAACTGATTAGCTGCTACCTCGACATGGTGCTCGAGCTTTCACACCACAGTGATCCAACAAGCTATGCTGCTGGAACGCTTACTCCCTCAAGGTTTTATCATACCAGAAACGTCTGTTGGGAAGCACAGACTGCAGCACTATGAGTGGGATCCAAGGAAGTCATACTTCCAGCTGTATGGACATGTGAGAACAGTACAGTGTTTCCTGAGCATGATTAGCAGTGCCGTACTGATTTTGCTTTCCCTATGGAAAAGAAGTTACAGAAGGTTAGCCCAAAAATAGCACACTCCCATTAACCTCGTAGCACACCGGCGTCAGTGATATGAGCTAATAGTCGGATTCGAAACGAATAAATCCATATATCAAACTTCTAAAAAAAACTATGAACAGTATCAACTAGATGTACTCTTTTCTCTTCCAGGTACCTTGAAGAAACAACTCCTAAAGTGTGGGCAGTTGGAAAGTGTCAACCACTAAGCACGCTTCCTGTGGCGTACAAACCCCAGTAAAACGACTTGCAATCCTTACCTTTACCCTCACTTAGTGATGCCAATATTAAACCTCTTACAACTTACTAAACCTTTCACTCTGCTTCCACTGTTAACGACCTAAGCCATCGAAACACTATTCCTAGTTTCCTAAGAGCTCGCTGGTCGTTTCATACTGGAGTATTCAATTTCCGAAACCATTGGCAAATGGCACAGCAGGCATGGCTTGCCAGAACTCTGGAATTCCGAGCGGTCTGATACACGTATGCAGGACCTGAGGGTGGTTATTAAATTAACCTCATCTGGATAACGCGATGAATCTTCAAAATTCACCTTACGAGTATCCGGAGATCAAACAGCTAACCCCCGTTAACTGGCTGGTGTGGGCATAGCATTGGGTTATAGAACAGAAATCGCACTCCGACTGGCATCCAGTCAACAGCCGTCTACGTTAGTCGACTGAGTGGATCTGTAGGAACTAGGAAGGATGCTGAAACCAGCCGATGTCTGAGTGTAATCTCCACCCAGACGCTCACAGACTGCAATTCGGATGATGCAAAAGATGAATTCTATCAAGATCTGCCAATTTCGCTGTCTAAGTTATGATAGCAGACAACTTTAACACTCAAGTGAGAAGGCTAAGACGATGGGAAAAGCATCCTGGGAGTATCTACGAGATCCCGGAACGAAAACATGTTTCAATTTCATTGACCACTAACTTGGAGCATGAGGAGACATTGTCTCACATGACTTGCACCAACATCAAACTAACAATAGACGCAGAGAGATCACAACCCCATACGCCATCACTGAAGACAAACAGAATCAACGAAGAAGCATGCAAATAGATGCATCGCCTCAAGTTACCACACTTCACAGCAGTACAAAAATAACAGGTGAGTAGAAAAGGAATGATATCAAAGTAAGTAAAGTAGTGTAAAAGAATAAACGATGAGGATCAGAGTTAGTGCCAGTATTCAAGTTTTAGAAGATATCAAGGAGTGAATACATCTGCACCACTGAGACCGGTTTTCAGACATGTCATCAAGGATCCTCAACCATACTCCTTTCGTCTCGATAACCCCAACCGGGCAATTTACATCTCTTTCACACGCCTCAGGCCGACGGTAAGAGACTTTATCGACTAGTGCCAGGTCTTGGTTTGGCACCTCAAACCCTTTTCCAACCTAATCCAACTTCTCCCAACATTGTACATCAAGACAGGCGGTGGCTCGGCACATGTACTACGTGTCCAAGACATCCCAACCAAACAGGTTCACAACCTCATCAATCCGCGTGCTCTTCTTGCCTAATAGCCTTCACCTGACCTCAACATTGCTCACACGCTGATCCCACCGAACACGAGCAATGCTACAAAGGCATCTGTGATCAAAATCCAGTAGTCGCTCTATGTTTCCTACTTTTACCAGCCATGTCTCAGCCGTACGAAAGGAGAAAACGAACTGCAGTGCAGTATGCTCGTCCTCTGACAGATAGTCAGATATCTCGCCGGCGCAACAGGTGACGCAAATGTCGAACCGCAACTCCGTATCCAATAGGAGATTTCGTCAGCAACCAACCCGTTCGGGCTGGTGCAAATTCTCAAGTAGGTGAAGTGGTCGACGCACTACACCACTACCTACCACTTAAGTCACGGTGGTTGCAGACCGGTCCTGGAGCATCACCGTATATTTGACTGACAGGCGTCAGCGAAACGCATCCCAACCAAATATACTCAGATTTCCCCTCAACGCGTTCACAAGACCCTGCATTTCGTCAGCATCTTCACCAAGCAGGAGAATATCGTCTACATACTCCAAGTCAACCAGATGACTAGGTCAATCCCTGTGAAGTCAGATGTACCTAACGTCATGTCCATTATTACATTTATGAAGAAGTTAAATAGGGACAGTGGAAGTGTGCATTCCTGACGGACGCCACTAGTTGTCCTCACTTCTCATCACAACTCTCCATAAGCTCTGATGCAGCTGCGTGAGTTCGAGTAGAGAGCTTCGATTAACGTCATAAAACTGCCGGGTACTCCTTACACAGTTAGACACTGTCATAACACCTCATGGTTGACAGTCAAATCCCGCCTTCAAGTCAACAAACATACCAAGTGCCGGCCATCGGCCGGTAGGTACGCCTGTGTTCCACAACTTGTCGCAGAGTAAAAATGTGATCGATGCACCCATATCGAGGTCTGAAACCTGTCTGGTTTTCTCCAGGTTTGCTGTTCTCCAGCTCCACTTAGGCGTCGGGTAACTGTGTTGCCTAGGATCTTGGACATAATATTAATCAAACTAATCCCCCTACGGTTGTCACAACATTTCTCTCCCTTCGTATACACTGGGATGGTTGGTCAGTGAAGCACACCAGTCTGACACCACTAACTCTGATTATCACACACTACCTAGTACCTCCATCACTTTAAACAGTAATCTCCTACCTCCATCTTTGAAAACTTCGGGTGGAGCTGTCAAGTCACGCTGCTTTGCATCGTTTCAAGTTCTCTACAGCCTTTTCAACTTCGACGACAGTTGGAGGACCAACATCCACATCCCATCCAACTTCAGGGTGAATGTTGGGCAACTGAAGCTTTGCTGACGACCAGTTGAACTCTGCTTCAAAGTGTTATACCAAACGTTCTAGCCGTCTGTCCCGGAAGGTTATCAGCGTCCAATCCTCATCGTTAATGGTTTCACTCACCATTGTCTTCTTCTCGCCGGTATCCTTAATAAGTCTAAATAGTTGCCGGATGTTACACACCGCCAATCCCTTCTCTGTTTCTCTCACTTTCGCCAGTCACCATTGCTCTTGGTCGACGCGAAAACTCGGTAAACTTACATTTTAATTACTTCCGCTCTTCATCATGATCAGTTTCAGCTGGAATCAGTGCATCAATCGTGCATTAATCAATCAATCCAATGACGTTTGCTAACCTTTATGTGTAACCTACACGTTGTCTTTACCGTTGTCTCCGCAATAAGCTTAGTACCATGTCAGGTTTCCTCAGCATGAGTATTGCTGCCATGTAAGACGATTATCGTTATCCGTCCGCTGGCACAGGTGGAGGACTGTCGCTTTCTGGAGTACCCATTTAGAGTGGCTTTACGCATTATTAGGGCACGTGTTTATCTGCAACTCACTAGTACCATAAAGGAGGTAGCAATGAAACCTTTGCATGTTCGATTGGGTGAGCACGTGAAGTACTTTTTTGGAGGAGATAAATGAGGACATCAAAGAAAACTGTCAATGGGAGGAAACCTGATGTGATACTCAGTCTGCCGTAGAAAGTGGTAAAGACCGCTACCTACAGCTAGAAGCTAGCAGACACTAACAAACTTTTGCAACGTCTTTCAAGCTGGCTGACTTTAGAAGACTGACGTTAGATGGATCTTAGCACAAAGAGCGGCAAAAGTGGCTGAATAGGAGTTTGATTAAAAGTCTTCGCAATGAACGCAAGCAGTTATGAGTGACGAAAGTGATAGAGAAGGCATAAGGACCCGGTAATACCTTGCAGTTATCTGGGATCATAAAGGAAACTGACAAAATGATAAGACAATCACTGAAAAGGATGGGACCCTGACAATCAAGTTAGGACGTTGAGAGAACACTGAACTGCTGCACAACGTTTCAGTTGAACATTATCCAGCCCGAATTTGAATAGGACTTAGATTTTGATACACCCACGTTTCTTGAAGCTGAGGTTATCTCAGTCTATGGTGAAAAGCAGCTGGACTTGACGGCATAGTTGTTGATCTTTTAGATACCATACAGTTTCGAACACAGTAGCCACTTTGCGATGGTTAGTCTAATTAGCCTGACGATATTGCTGCAAGTCATTCCACAGCGAGTACATTCATTTTCAGTCTCTACTTCGTAAAGTGGTAAAAGCAAACTGAATATTCCCTGAACACTACATTTTTGGCATTAGGAAACATTTTTATTGCTCCTTCCTTGGTCGCGAGATACTTGAAAGAAACTACACTAGCAAGAACAACAGTTCTTGACCGTCAGTCTTTAGTAGATAAAAGAAACGGAAACTGGAAACTAAGTGCCCATTTGACGCTATTAGCATCACTGTTTCAACCTCGCCTCATAGTGATGACATGGAAATGAGAGCACCGTTATTCATGATACTAAGTTGAAAATAACGAGGAGTCAAACCATAGAAGTATGCAATATTTTAATATGATGGCTGGATGCGTAGAACTGTTAATACATGGGACTACGGTAGCTTCGTAATAAACCCGTTTCGTAACTCTCTTCCATAATTATCACACTATAGACGACAGCACGCAAAAGTATGTACAATCTAAGATTAACAGTTGCGCTATTAAGCTGAATTTCAAGCAAAAATGACTATACCTAGAGTACTATCTAATAATGGGTCTCGATCAGTTGGTAGACCAAAGTTGAAAAGCATTATTCCCTGCAGTTTACCCGTAAAAATTCATAATACTGCGTGCCAAAAACCTACCTAGACTCATATCCACCTTGCTGTTAGTCCCATTTTCTGCCTTCATTGTTGCTTTTTGTTTACTCGGCCTTGAAATGTTCATACAAACATTTCAATATCCCAAGGAAAAATGTATCTCTTGTGGAATACATTAGTGTATTATAGGTAAATCTTTCGTGAAGAATTTACACACAATGATATTTTTTCTCAATATTTCGAGTAAAACTGCTGCTTGTAATCATTGTGTGTAAACTAGCCATTAAAAATTTACTTATTTTACTTCAGTATCCAATGAACAATGTTCTTTCTCACCTGCTTTAACTTACCTGATTTCTTTGGTCTTGCTTCTTGACGTTATTGAATTTCTCCTGGCTACTAACTTCCCCTAGTGCTGCAGATAGTTGCAGTCACAATTCGTCGATCAGATGGAGCTACAAGTTGTTATTTAATCGTCTCAGACGCACTGGGTGCCTTCAAACTAGGAACTTGGAGTCATACTGTTGAACTAGTGAACGATGGTTCCTTGGGTTCTGTGTCTGTCTCATTGGAATACGCTCTTGGTTTGGGTTGGTCACAGTTGACTTACCGGTACCGAAAAGCCTAAACGGACAGAGACAACCGATTATAGACTATTTGCTCTGTGTAGTTAATGTTTCTCCCTCTTGTCTCTGGATGACGAAAAGCTTCTTAAGCGCATCTCATCAATACCACAAGGTGCTAAATGTATATCTAACCTCTTGTGAAAGTACTGGGGTAGGGTGTAGTAACAAGTGCAGGAAGGGAGTACCACAGTTTACATAGCCTAACAGCAAACGGGCTAACATCGACCTTTTTACTTACTGCCTCGAGCTCTACTACCTCTGAAGCGTCACTGCTGATCAAAGCTTAAGAGGACTCTGTTAGGGTGTCGGAAATTATAGACAGTGTTTTATCATGAACACATTTCCTCCGGTCCTCCAGTATTGTGCCTGCTGCAGCTGCAGCCCAGCTAAGCGATCCATGCACCGTTTCCCAACCACTTTACCCGCATCTCTCTTACGGTGCTGTTCTAGGACGGCTGCGACCTTCTGTAAGTATAGAAACGTCAGGAGAAGTGTTTTTCACGATGAGGAAGAATGCAAAGCCTGTACACTGTGGTGAAAAAGGAGTTAGACCCACTAAAGTTAGCAAAAGAATCCTCAGGACTCCATAGACCTTGTTGGTACCAGGAAGACAATGGGCCGAAGCTCCAAGTGTATCACTTGAAGGAACTCCCAGATCTTTTTCAACTGCTGAGCGACAGATATTTATTTCACCCAGCAAAAACGAACGGGAACTATCTTTATATTTGTCATCAGTCTTTACCCTACACTCCTCTGCGCTCACAGGGATTAGTTCCTCAGTAGTTTAAATTGGGATTTAGGAAGAGTATTCCTCAAGGACCGAAATATCTGTTGGCCCCTATATTCCCTCTAGAAGCTTCAGGTCATCGCGTGACGGTGAATGGGAAGTGAAGGATCCTGGGAGGTCATTGATAGAGTCGAGGAACAGTAGTGGACCAAGAAGAGAACCCTGCGGCCCACCAATCAGCATCAGGAACCGAATCGATAAGGGGAAGGCGGCTCCAGATGATTGCAGACCAATGATTAGATAACCTCCAAACCAACTTGGTAACTTTCCACGTAGACCCATATGCTGAAATTCCCTGCGTGAAGTGTCTTGGTTTACCCTGTCAAAGGCCTAAGAAAAGTCAAGCGAGCCAACGTGAATGTTTTCTTAGCGGCTCAGCAAAGAAAGTCCAGTCATTCCAAGCCATCGGCAAGTTGGCGTTACACGACACTTCAAATAACAAGCTGTGTTGGCGGTAATTTAGGGACGAGTTCTCAAGAAAGTAATCACCACGTGAACCATTTACCGCTGTTTCTATAACCCTCGCAATTGAAGAGATCAGCGAGAGGAAATTAGCCTGTTTTCAGCTTTATATATTGCGACAACAGTCACATATTTCCAATCAGAGTGTAGCCCACCTTCCAGAAACTAATATCTGATGTGGTTTACTAGTGGGATACTCAGAAGGTCGCATTGCCTAAGTACCCTTGGGTAAATACCAATAACTCCTGAAGACCTATTTCGGGCTCAACTTCCTTAAAATTCGTTTGATAACAGGAGATTAAAACTCTGTACAACTTAACCCCTCTCTAATGTGGGTGTTTAACACACATATGGTTGTCCCTCCCAGCCGACAGTTGCCTTGAAATTCATGAGCTAGTAAGTTTGCCATCTCAGAGTTTGCGTGGAGAATCTCTAAACTACTGGGGCCCTGTATACTAGGTGAAACGTTGCTTTTCTGCTTCTCCGGTGAGTAAACTACCTTATGACTCCCCTTAAGAGTTCTGCACTGATGTTTCTGGTGGTTTGCTCTGTTACTCCGGATTATAATTGCACATCTACTGCCAGGGTCCTTGTAATTTTGTCATTCAGTAGATCTCCATTTTCACTGCTTTGTAGGTTTATCACACGATGTAACAGTATTGTTTACCGGATTTCGTTTCGGACATGAGCTGTCGCCCACAGCCATATCGAGGTAACTGCGCAGCTTTGGGATATCCTGTGTGCAGCCCTGAGTTCCTCGCTCCCTTTATAACATGGATAACAAGATTTTCAGTATCACAATTGAGACGAAGAAGTTAGGACTCGGTAGAAGATATCTCAAACTTGTATAGTTACCTTGGTGTGACCAAGGACAACAAACGTCCTCTGAAACGTCATCCAGTAAACTGTGGTGTTATACCGTTTGTGAATCTAATAAACCAGTAAAAGTGGAATTACATTCTGTCGCAGCGCGCAGGTTTTACTCTCAATTAGGCCAATTCTGCCATCGATGACCCCCATCGTTTCCAAGTTGGTGAGGGAAATATTCAAATCAGTCTTCCCATAAGTCCTGGCTAGTGGCAGATCAGGGTTTGGTGACTTGGATATAAAGGCTTTGAGGGAATAAGTGCATGCTCACTCGGTTCAAGAAGACTATGAACATTTAAGTTGCCTACGCCAATGAACTTATTAGCAAAAATGATCAATTTAGGATGTCTCACTGTCAAGTCCTCAGCATGTACCCTGAGAAACATGTCCGATGAAGGAATTTTCCATCATGATCCCCAAAATTATCTTGAAACAGCAGATGAACTTTAAGCGGTGAACATCTGACGGGTAATTTCTAATCCACACCCCCCTACTGGATTGTAAGACCACCGATTTAACGTAGCGGTAGCCTCCGGAGGGAGGTATGAAATTCCAACGGGACAGAGGCCTTTGCTACATTTAATGCCACACCATAGCATGCTTTTAACCGGAGTTCTGCGGGAGGAAATCTTATGGGCTTTAAGGGGAAGATAGGTGTAGAACGTAAAGCCGCCTCTTGATCCCCCTTATATATCCTCCTGGTCAAGGTGAGCTCCTCTAGTGCAATTCCTCATGTTTTATGCCCATTTAGGCCAAGTTTCACTGGCAGCCATTATGTGAAAACTATTTTTGTCAACTAACACCCTCAGCTCGGACAACCTGAAGTGCAAGCAACGTACACTGCTACGGAAACAGCGAATGAGGGTATGGAGGCCCGAGGTCCCAGAATTAGGCTTTCAAAAAATTGTTTCCGGCCCTTAGAAGACCGGTTTTCTCGAGTTTTTACGGATAAGGAAGGAGAATCAGAGGCGGCCTAGTTCACCAGTCCGCTCGACCAAGGACTAGCACGGAACTCTTTGACCCGAGACAAAGTCAATGAAAATTTTCGTTCATCATCCAGCCGTTCAACCGTTAGACGCGGATTGGCCAGATGCGAGTTCTTGAACCCCCCTCAGTCCGCCTTTGTCCTCCGAGTCTACACTCACTTATCCGAAGATCTTTTGGGACGGAACCCAACTCCACGGTCGTTCTGTCCGTGTCAGCAGAATCAAAAGTTAGTTGCAGCCTCCTGGGGGCATGAGCAGAAGATAGGTGGGGCAACCCTGAAAGACAGTTAATTTTTCGGGCCCCAACGTCGACTTCGAGCTTGTTCACTGGATGTCTCCATGGGTTTATGTTATGGACACGTTCAGTAATCTCAGTGAACACACATTCGGCAGTCCTATGTACGTTGACTGGATGGCATAGTTCCTGGGAGCTACTTTTTCCGGTGTGACAGAGAAATTCCCTCACTAACCAGGGCCTATCCGGCCTACTTCCAATGTCCGACAGTTTCTGCTCTACTTATTGATGACCCTTCAAAAGGATTCGTTCCGAGTGACGATTTTTGTCTGAGGAGATTCTGCAAAGTCTGGGACACGTTCTGCGGGAGAACTTACTAGAGGTTAGGCATTGTGGAGATGGACTTCTGTGTGAGGTTCCCAAATCGTCACAGAAATCCTTCCATTTACCAGGACCGTGCTCTTCACAATCAGTGAATAGGTGTGGGCCACTTGCCCTACTGGTAGGGAGCATGAATGACCCAGGATTAAGACTGTAATCCGACCTTTGAGATGTAGTCCTCTCTGTTAATGCGGACCTGAGTTTCTGCGAGACCTTGGTTTCCAACCCTGACGGTTGCATTTGGGATTGGGGCTGGCGATAAAGTGTAGGTGGCTGAAACTTTCCCTTATGTATGGTGAGACTCAGACCCACTTTTCTCAGATTGCTTTCCAAATTACTTAATCGTCAGGCAATAAATTTTTGTTTCTTGATGCCTATGCCTTGTAGCCTTAACATGAGTAACGTTATGGCTGCTGTAAACAAACCAGTCCATGAAGGTAAGAGATCAAAGGTTTCGAATCCGTCACAACGGTCTGAAAGCAGTTTATTTGCCAACAGCCCCTCTCTCGATCTGTTAGACGTCATCACTGATGTATATAATGGTGATATTGTGAACAAGCGTAGTAGCGTTGACAACATTAATGAGACTGATGATCTTCGGTGTAAACTAGACTGTCTTACACCTGTGATTTGCCTACTGAAACCTACAACGGACTTATCAGCGGATAACCTTATCAGGTGTGAAACACTAGCGAACTTCGTGGCCACTGAACCAGCAAACGATTGACTTCGTCGCACAGCTCCGTCGTCCCCAATGTCCCTGATAGTTTTCCATCAAACGTGTTAAAAAGGATCTCCTCCA